ACGTCCGAGCCTGCTGTCTTGGGTGGGTTATTGGTAAGGATGTACTTGTGATGACATTTACTGTTTTCTACAGGAAATCATGATTCCTAATTGTTTACTAGAAATATCATCCATCTGTTTTCAAATACTTTGCATAAAGTTTTTCATGTTATTCTCTTATAATTTTTTATTTCTGTTAGTTTTGCTTTCTTTTCTAATACCAAATATTTATGCACTCTGTGGAGATTGGTTCATTTGTATTAGGGGTCTTAATGATCTTTTCATGATAATAAAAATGAGGAAAATGGGCACATAATAAAGGAAAATAGCTTGATGTCCAGCCCAGGAACTTCCCTGGAACTTGCTGCCTTGCCCTAGCTGTTCCCCTAACTCATTTCAGTTTACACTGAGGCAAACAAAGTTTGCATCTGGTTGTCTGGGCAGAAAAAGTCCCGATATGACACTGAGTGCAAATGTCAAATCGGGGCTTTTTCTGAGCTATTCTCAAAGTAATAGGCAAACATTGGTAGCAACCCATGACCCATCACCCGTAGTGGCGCCCACAGAAGGTTTACCTGAACCCCTGTTCACAGTGTTTCATGAGCAAAACCACAGGCCAAACAGAGCAGCCCCACTCCTGATGCAATTTCCCACAACGCCGTACTCCTGGGACACACAGGCAAAGGCAGGTCTGTTGTTCGTGGCATCAGATTGCCTTCTATTTGAAAGAACATGTTTATAAAATTTCCAGATGTGTTTGGTTTTTAACCACTGAATTTTGCTGGGATTAAGATGTAGTCTTAGCTCTGCAAACTCTATTTTTCCTTAAAACACTTTAATGTGAAGAGTGTTTCCTTAAAACCCTTTAATAGAAAGAAAAAAATGTGATGGATTCACTGATAGCGAAAGACATTGAAATGTCTCTTTTGTGATGACAAGCAATGGCATATAATTAAGAAAAATGTTTCAGATTTCTTTCAGCGTTGAAACTCTTTTCAGCAGGAGACATTTATCCATTAAAATTCTCCATAGGAATTCTCACTGTGAGAAAATGACAATGCTATTTATTTAGCCCAATGGAAAATATCCATAAAATTCTTTCTTCTCTTTATCTACTGCATTCAATTTGACAGTAATGTTTATAAATATAAATGGTGTCCTCTCTACAGATCTTAATACATAACTTTAATTCTGAAATTGGTAACACTCTTAGAAATTGGATTGCCCAAAACAGCCACATAATTTGACATTACCTAGTTTACTCAACATCTCAAAAATTGAATGCATTCTGTTCCCCTCCAAAAAAAGCCAGAAAACTTTTGTTTGTGTTCCCATAGTAGAGATTGCTGGCAGGTTGTCTATCCAGTATCAATTTAGTTCTTCTTACTGAGAATCAAAAGTCTCATTTCATTCTAGAGTGTCAGAAGCCTGGCTGAAGATCACTCTGCTCAAACATTCCTGCTGCTCATTATGATCATATGAAGATTTCTGGGTGATGTAGTCCTGGGGATAAGGCTATACAGGTTAGGCTGCCAGGAAAGTTTTTAAATCAAGTGTACTTTTATTCTCTTAATCCAATATTTCTTTTTATTTCTGCTTTGAACACCGTGGTAGCTAGAGCTCTAACAGCCGCCTTGGAATATAAGAGAAATTCTAAAACTGCTATCCCAAGAGTCTTAATGTCCATGGAACCTCACTATCAGCGTCATAGGAAGCATCCGTAACTCAGTAAGTATCCTTGATTTCGTCTGATATCCGCTTAGCCTCCCACATCACATTCCCCATTCTTCACCATAAAAGCCCACCCAGCAGGCTATTATCCCACACAGTCTGTTCCACATCCTTGGTAAGAGCGAATCAGTCTGTGGCCCCACAGCAGGGAGGCCTCATCACTTGTAGATCTCACCTTGCCATTGCCACCTGCTTATATGCTCCTCAAGGCCAATAATGGCAGCCTTTCCATCGCCTTCATGTTTATTGTGCCAACCACCTACTTAGACACATGGAACAGCCCCAATAAGTATTAGCTGAAAAAATGAATGCGTGTGTGTTTGCCATGCGTGCACGTGCAGTGTTTGTATATGTGTGATGTGTGTGTCTGTGTATGAAAGGGCTTTGAATTCTGTAAATGTGTGAAACCAAGCTGTGACGTGTCATAAATAAAAGTTCCCTGAACTGAAATAATGTGATAGACCAAAGCAAAAACCAAAGAAGAAACATGGTCAAACCAGTTAGAAAATACAATGTCTATAACTCCCAGTTGGGTGAGACAATGTGTGATTAAGCAGATAGTCATGTGAATGCATGAACACTAACAGTGTTCACACAGGGGCCTGCAGGTTGTGTGTGTGTGTATTCGGTACCATGTTTTGGTCACATGGAGCTATTCATCAATCCAATGGCCATTAAACAAAGCTATGTATAACCTTAGAACCCTGGTATTCACTATTCTGAAATATACTCCTGATTTGCTTTTTTAATCCTGATTTTGCATGAGGACTTTAAATATCACTTGTTTAAATATCTGAATAAAGATAAACTATATAAAAAATGGTAGATTATTGGAACTGGAATAATCAGTGTCTTATCTCTGTCTTATAAAGTACTCTCCTTGGAATGATTTCAAAAGGAAGTAGTTTGTTTAAAAGTCTCAGTTGCATGACCTTAAGCCCAAAGGTCTGAAGACAAATGTTTAACTGCAAAGGCATAAAATATCTGAGTACTTATAAATGCGATGACATTTTCAACATTAACATAAGACTTGACCTTTCGTGTCCAGTCTTCCGGGATGTGGTGTGTTACCATGTTGGGTTCTTTTTCTCCTGTTTATGTTCAAAGGCACACCTTGAAACATAAACTTCAAGAACACAGCAGTTCAAAAACCAGGAAAGAACCCCTCAGAGCAGAACATAGCACAATAGAACTCAATTAAATCTTAACCTTTCTATTTTATTTCCTCTTTACCTAAATTAAATTGGATCCCTAAAGACGCAAATAAAGATGCCAGGAAATATATTGGCAAAAACACAATTACATTCCAAGAACGAGGTTAAATTAAAGCATATGTTATTTATTTACTGCAGTTTAAACATGTCTGTTTCACAAATTGGTATTTATTGATTCAGCAATAATAAAAAAGCATTACATCTTTTTTTTTTTGACCATAAGACTACGTGAGAATTGGAGGGAAAAAAGCCTACACAACCTTAAATTGAAACTTATGTAAGAAAGCATAATTCATGAGACTCAAAATCACTCACGTCAAAGCTACCCATGATTGGCTTAACCCTTACCATTTAAAAAAAATAACCGTGATATAGAATGATCTTTAGGAAGGAAAGGCTTGATGAAATCTTGCTTTAGTAAAGGAATATCACAAAGTAGCCTTTCCTTGGTTCACAAGTTGAAGCGCTCGATGCTAGTGTGGATAAGGCCAAATCATAAAGTGAAATTAATGTAGTCTTCCATGGAAGGTTCAGAAAAATGTTGTTAAAAGAAGATTGAGAAACATCTGGCTGAAAACTATTTTCAGTTGTAGACAGATTGGTTTTATATATTTTTCTAACTATAAGATGTAAGATAATCCAGTTTATACACACGTAGCCTTTGAGAGCTCCATCTCAGCACTTTATATCTAAAAATACTTTGGGGACAGTAATTCTGAAAATGAAGTAATTTTTAGAAATTTAAAAAAATTGAAAATTAATTTTTTTTGAGACAGAATCTCACTCTGTTGCTACAGGCTAGAGTGATGTGGCATCAGCCTAGCTCACAGCAACTTCAAACTCCTGGGTTCAAGTGATCCTTCTGCCTCAGCCTCCCTAGTAGCCAGAATACAGGCATCCCCCCACCAAACCTGCCTAATTTTTCTATTTTTAGTAGAGATGGCATTTCTCTCTCATGCGGCCTGGTCTCTAACTCCTGAAGCTCAAGTGATCCTCCTGCCTGAGCCTCTCAGAATTATAAGATTATAGGTGTGAGCCACCAAACCAAGCTGCAAATTTGTTTAGTTATTACACATTGTGCTGATTTTGCTTTTATAGTTAGGAGGTGACAAGATATTTCCTTGGGTCATTAGTTTTCAAACAGGAATATACTTGTGTAAGGCCCAGAGTTTGAGATTCATGAGGTCTGGGGAAGAGCCTAAGAATTTGCATTTCTAACTTGCTCCCAGTAGATGACAATTCAGCTAGTATGGGGACCACCACAATTTGAAAATCATTGGCTTCGAATACAAAAGAAAACAGTTTTTCTATTTATCAAATTAAGACAAATAAAATACATCCATAATCTACTTTTCCCCATGCCTCCATAAAATTATCATTTGTGGGATTCTGATAATGACTATTATAAATGGTAGAGAATAACTAGTTCAATTGATTTAATTTTGCTAACGAAATTTTGAATTCCTATTTTTAAAGTGTCTTTTGTATGCAAAAATAATTAGTGATTTTTTTAATGACATACCACCATATGTCATCCAGTACTAGGAAAATTTACATTTAAATCATTGAATTTGTATTTAAAATTTGTAAGTGTATCTAATAAAAGGATGACAAAAACAGAAAGCAGTCACTGACACTACATTCTCTAAAAATAAGTTAGGAAAGATTTTTAACCTTAGGCAGTGGGTTGGTGGGGAGAGGAGGGAGCTCAATTTCCTTACGATTAAAAGGTGAGGTGTTTGGAGCAGGCCACCTGTGGCAGACAGAGTTTCCAGCTCCAGAATCTCAGTCTGGACTCTGTCAGGTCATTTGTGCCTTTGTGACAAAGAAGCTGGTACCCATGTAGCATGGCAAAAAGAATAACCGTGTTGAAGGAATTCCCCAACAGTCTACAGAAAAGAAAGACCTTTTATTAATTAACAAAGAATTTCAAAATAGAAAATGAAATAGAGAATGAAATTTGATTGCCTGGAGCTTGTCTCCCAGCTCCTCAGCTGCTCATGCATTGGTTTGATCCTTGGCTATTAATTGCAAAGACAAGGCTTTATTCTTTATGAAAATTTCTTCTTTTCCCACTTAGACGGGCAGATGATGCCGGTGATGATGGTCAGTGGATGGAATAAAAGTAGATTCCAGAGTTGGCTGTTGCTCAGTAGCAAAATTAATAAATATCTGTAGAAATAATAAAATAGTTGTTGACTTGTAAGAATGTTTCCACTTTTTGTCTCAACTGTTGGAAGGGGAGACATCCTCTCTGAACACTGCCCAGCTTGTCCTAAAAGTCACAAACTGTAAATTCATATGACCCCATACATGGACACATCAATCCACTGAGGGTGCAACTCCAGGATGATGAATATTTCTAGACATTTAACAGATCACCCTGAAGTTCTCGGTCCCATAAGTGTGGCTTTAGAAAGAAGGTGTGATGTATTTTTACGTTTCTGATGCTTTTAGCAAATCAATCCTGTGTGATTTCCCCCAGAATTAGCTATCACATGATTCCAGTGTGCCCCCAAACCTTTGAGGGGCTGAGTAAAGTAGATAAGGATCCTGGGACACTATTTAACTTTAACTGAATGCCCGGTATAACCATGAACAAATCAAAGTCTATTGACTCTCTCAAGTGAAGGGCATATGATAAACAAAACTCTTAACACTCTCCATTCTAATCAGAGTTTTGTAAAGTTGAACAAGATTAATTAAATAAAATGATGAGCTGAAGAAGCAATCTGGCTAATGTAACAGTTGGCTGGATTAGGCCTGAGGAGCAGACCAGACTGTAGCCTGCTAACCCTTCAGGGTACCATACCTGCTCCAAAGTGGTTTGGTTAATGGAGTAATGCTTGATATTCAAGAAGGTCTTATTGTTCTCCAGAACTTTGAACAAGTCAGCTAAGCATCCCCATCTTTTTGGCACATGATATTCCAGTAAATTGAGGTGCTGTCCCTGAACCCCCAAAATTAAGAAAAACAAAAAAGTATCACATGATTATCAGTCATTAGACAAAATTGATCTCATGCTACATTTAAATTGGCCAATAAATTTAGTTGTGTTTTCTGAAACCTCATGCATAAACACCAGGTGTGTAGATTAATTTCCCAAGTCTTCAATGAACGTTTACTGACAAGAGCTTACCATGAAGCATATTTGATGAATAGCGCTCACTTGAGTTGTGCTGCTATTTTGGGCCCTGATGGCTCTCTTCTTGCCATAAGCCCGGGGAAGACCTCCTAATGGACTCAGAGGTGCCTACAGTTATTCTAGATGAAAGCAGCCAATGTGGTTTAACAAAGATGGATGGAAGTACCCAGAGCTGCCAATGGGGCTTGGGCTCAGCTCTCAGATGTCCTCATTATCAGCCAGGCAACTCTTGATATTAACCTTTCTGATCCTTGTTTTGACGTGTGCCAATGGAGGCAATGCATCTGTCTTACAGTTTTGCCCAGAGCGGTACCTAAGCGTGAATGACAGCATCTCACACAGCATTTGTAGGAGGATTTACTAAATAGTTGCTGTTAAAATAAGTAGGAAGTAGCAACTTTATGGGCCGTAGAATGTTAGAATTTACAATAAACTACCATCCTACAGTGTTGTAAAGAATGTTAGACAGTGCTGCTCCATCTTTAATGTGCATGGGAGTCACCTGATCACTGTGTTAAAAAGCAGATTGAAACTGAGCAGGTTGGGGTCTGAGATTCTACCTGTCTAACAGGTCCCAGGTGTGAAGATGGGGCTGATTCAGGGACCACACTTGATCATGTCATGTTTAAAGAGGATTATAATCCTAAGCACAGGGCTCTTCTTTACAATGATACCAAAAATGCCACCCTATAAGCCCCTTAGCAAATACACGGAAGAAATTAGCTGTTATAATCTTCTATCCCAATAAGGTGACCCAGGCAATGCAGGTGTGCCCACAGACAGTGGGTGATGTGCAGTTGTCCACTGTGGGCAATCCAGGCTTGGCATTCTTCACAGTGGTTAAACAATATCAGCTATCCATGCTGTTTTGGGAAGGGAACCATCGCCTATACTTTACAATGAGGCTGAGACAATAGCAAGTATTTCACAGCAGCACAGAATAAAAAAAGAAAAAGCATATAATATGTTTATACATTTTTTTAGCCAAAAACAAAGAAGCAATGCAGAATATTAGCACTACCTTAAACTGGATCCCTGGGAAATAGAGCTTCAGGCAGTCAGAAACAGTATGATGGTGATTTGTTTCCTTACAGAGCCAAACTTTGACTGTATAGCCATCACCAAATCTGAGAGTTAAATCAAAAAAAAATATGGTTAATAATATATGACCTAAGATGTGGAAATGTTAAGTCCATTTTTATACAAAGGCAGAAAAAGGAAGTAACCATTCCAAACTGTTAGAGATTTCAGATTCTTAACAATGTAATGCAGAAATTAATTATAAGTTATTCAGTTTACTGTCATTCCATTTAAATTGACACAGACATGGATTTATCTTTAAAAAGTAATAATTATCAAGCCCTGGGATCAATGACTAGTTAATAAAAAAGGGAAGGTGAAAATATGAATGGTGAAAATAAAGGATCAGTTAGAGGATGTCAGGAGCCCACTGGAAACTAACCCCAAGAAGCCTGACTGCTGGCCTTTCTGCTTCAAGGTCTGAGTGATTAAAATGCGGCTGGGCAATAAAAAGAATGCAAAATTAACTCAGCCAGGTCCTTGTTTGTTATGGAGAAGAATTCTGTCAACTGCACTTCCACCCAGGTGGAGGTGATGTGAGGAGGCGTGGCTGTGAGGGAAGTCACCAGCCTAAGAGGCGGCACTGCTCCCAACACATTGACTACAGATCTGCACAGTGCAGGCTGTTCAAATGGCCATGCATGTGGTGAGACTCATGTTCTAAGAGGCACTGCTCCCAACACACTGATTACAGATCTGCACAGTGCAGTCTGTTCAAATGGCCTTGTGTGTGGTAAGACTCATGTTCTAAGGCAGTGGTTTTCAACCTTCCTAATGCCACGACCCTTTAATACAGTTCATGATGTTGTGGTGACCCCCAACCATAAAATTATTTTCATTGCTACTTCATAACTGTAATTTTGCTGCTGTTATGAATCATAATGTAAATATCTGATATGCAGGATGTACTTAGGCGCTGTGAAAGGGTCATTTGACCCCCAAAGGGGTTATGACCCACAGGTTGAGAACTGCTGTTCTAAGGTCATCTCAAATGGAAGTCTCCAAAAATGTATAGATCATCTGAAAACTACATGTATTATTCTCTTGCTTTATCCCAGGCATCCAGCACAGTGTTGGGCACCTCCTAGCATCTCAGTAAAGATCTGCTCAATAAAAAACAAATACATGAACATACCATGATGATTGATGTTTTAGTCTATTTTGTTCACTTATGTATGTATCACAAGTACCTAGCACAGTACCTAGCACCTAGTACAATGCTTGCACAGTACCTAGTACCCAGGACACTATCTAACACTGATAAATATAAGCTTAATGAGTGGGAGCCAATAAATGCCATGTTTAAAGTCTTATAATCTTAAACTACCTCACTTAAACTGTAACACAATCATTTACAATACTCACAATATGATGCTACAACACCTAACTTATGAAACATTGCTGGGGAAAATGTGTCATACTTAAGGAAATTTTTCCCACCTAAGGCTGACCCTGAATATATTTATGGTTGAATCACAGTTTCAAGTCTGATAAAATCAGAGGCTTATGATCACTAGACCTGGTTTCAGTGCCATGGACCCCCTTGTGAACACCCCCAGAACCCCTCCCCCGGGATGATGTTTTTGATTTCAGGGTGTCAGGTTGTCAGGTGGCATTTCCCTCTGAGGTCTGCACAGGGCCTCAGCAGGCTCCCATATTTTGAGTTGATGGTTTCTAATCTACATATGGCTGAGAGGTTGTTGAAGACATTCATAAAATATACAGGAAAGCACACCAAGAGGCAGCTCGATTTAGCTATGTCTAAGAATTTTTTAGGGGCCAAAAATGTGGGTCAGTACAGAGGTGTGTATTCGGCAGCCCATCCTCTGCTCCTGGTCGGTATGTGTCAGGGGCTGTGCTGCTGATTAACAGGGATCATCACACTCTATTTTCCCCACGTCCTCCAAAGGCGGTGCATACTTCAGGGTGTTGGGCAAGGAAGGGACCAAGCCCCAGAGAACTGAAGGAGGTTCCCACAGTGAAGTTCTGTGTCCTGCGAGCTTTGTAGATTCTCCCAGGAGCATGGGGCCTGCTCCTCTGTGTCTGGGCTGATGCTGCATCTTCGGTAGTGGGGAGAGGACACGTTTGTGGATGGGGATGCCTTTCTGGTCTCCTGGATGGTGGTTAAGGATCCTGACAACACAACATGCTTAGTTTGCACTATCGGTGCTGACTCCTGACAAACTGGGTTCGAATCCACCTCTTCCCGGTACTACTTGTGTGACTCTGAAAAGTCAGGTAAATTTCCTAGCCTCAAAAGTCTCATCTAGAAAATGAGGCTAATAATGGCAGCCACCCAGTGAGGCTGTCAGAGGAATGGATGAATGAATTCTTACAAATCGCTTGGAATGATTTCTGACACTGCCTAGACAAAGAGGGAAGTAAATAGCGAGATTTCAGTTTTGACCAAAGTATATGACCAAATGGAAGAATGCTCTATTTAGGGTGAAAAAGTTCATAGTTTATTTGGGGAACTTACATGAAGGCAGATGAACAGACTGAACATGAACTGGGGCCCTACAGAGAGACACAATGGTGTGAGGGGATGGTGGGAGGGAGAGGGCTGCACCTTCTCATGCACATTAGGACCCACTCTCAGCATTAGGAACTGCGCCCCTGAGGGCATATTCTGCTAATGAATGCTGAAAAATTTCATGCTAAATTCCAGTAATTGTCTAATAAATTCTTTACAAACCTATGTGCATATTAATATTTAAAATTCTTTGAAAATTACATTTTGAAAATTAAGTTTCCTTTGAAATAAAATACTTCTAGCTTTACTCTGGAGAATATGAATCATTAGAAATTATACCACTCTTAAGAAACAGAAACAAAAACAAACTCAAGAGAAAAATATTCCTAAATTAGGTGGGCAAATTACTCAAGCTCTCTCTAGAACAGTTAATAAGTCTTCCAAATACAAACTTAGAAAAGTATGGTGTCTTCAACAACTGAGGGGAGCTTTGTAGATTATTAAATTCACTGTATGCAAGTGTCTCATTTATATTGGCTGTCCCTGCTCACTCTGCCTGTAACCTATACATTTATGCCAAGGATCTAAATTCCCTCCAGTATTTATTTGATTCCCATACTTCTACAGAATAAAAAGTTTCAAAATAGCCAAGGAGTCATTTATTTCTATACTTACTTATTAATCTAGCATTTCAACATAATATATTATGAAAACATCATTTACATAATCAGTGATTGTATAAAGATTTATAAGAGATAGTCTACAACTTTTTGTGATACAGCATTTTTGTCTCACAGACATTAATGTAATATTTGTAACAAATGCTAAAACAGAAGCCGGAGTAATGTACTAGACGAATAACAACACACACAGACTTCAAAAGCCAGATGATTCAAGAGCACAAGGAGAAAGCTGGTTAGACTCCAGAAGCAACTTTTCTGATATATCACTTAAATTATACCAAGAGCCTATGAAGCTTTGCATTCTTGGGCTTAAGACTCTTTTACATGAATTTTTCCCAAAAATTAAAAGTCAAAGATTTATGACAAATATGGTTATTTCAGCCTCAGCTATCACAAATATCTCTACAAAGAACATTTAATGGTGAGAAAAATACCTATATATAATATTAAATGTAAAGTACAAAATATAAGAAAAGGAATAACAGGCTCAGTATGATATCAACTATGTAAATACATCCACCTATGTTGACAAAATCAGACTCAAATAAAAATCCTAGAATGGGATCTATACAAGAGGGATAATAGCATGTCTTTTTTTTATTTATAAGCTTATGAATTTTAAGATAATGAGTATATTCCACTTTTATAGATAATGAGAAAAAATAGGTTTCTAAGGAATAAAGAGATCACCCTCATTAATGTCCTATACTCTGCAACGCTATTTCAGTTTCTGATTGTAAATCATTTATTTAGAAACCTTCTGTCATATTGCTTCTAAAAATTAAATGCATAAAACTCTTCTTGGTATAGAAGCTAATCTTATATTTCAGAAAATAATAAGATTTGTAAGCTATGTAATACCTGTATTAGGTGACGACATGTAAAGATACATATACTCACCTATTTCCATCATCTGTTCCACAGGAAATCTATTCACACACACACATACCCCCTTCCCCACAGGTATCGGACCATGGGATGTCTCTAACATTGACCTTTTCCCACTGTACAGAGTGAGAGCAGAGAAGGACCAGACCTCCTGTGGTCACCCACAAAGCCCCCATCCAGCACTGGCTGTGGAGTATGGGCCCCCACTGCCTCAGACCACATCGGCCCCCAGTGCCCACCTTCCTGTCCCTCAGTGTACTGCACCCCACTCCTCGTGGGTCAGCCTCTCCACAGGATGCCACATCTTTGTGAACCATCCTTAGTAACCAAACTGCAATCACTTGTCTTGGAGATGCGTGAAGAGGAGGGGAGGTGGCACTGAGGACAGGCAGCCGGAGGACAGATGAAGAGCAAGCATTGATGTGAGCACTGGAGGTACAAGCCAGCGTCTCCACGTTAGGAACATTGTGACTGTTATCCCAGTCCTCATCCCGCCCACTGGGGAGATACAGAGCCCGAGAGAGGCCAGAGCTGCTGCTGCATCCTGCTTGCCCTGAGAACGGGGCACCCAGCACGTCATCCCATTTAATCCCTGTAGGATTTTGAAGTTGCTGTCTCTGTCTCTATTTTACAGAAGTGAAGTGGCAGCTCGCATGGGTTAGGTACCTTGTTCAGGTCACACACTCAAAGGCAATGGAGGGGGTTTGATTCCACCTCTGGTCATTTAAACTCACAGCTGCGGCTGGCAGCAGGGTCTGGTGAACCCTTGCTGCTCCTGTATTCTCCATATCAACATGTTCACATCAACACCTTCATTTTATTCTTACAACAGCCTACATCCGGATTAAAACGGGTAGCATTTCCTCTTCATAAAATGCAAAATTGGGGGGTCCAAAGAAGCCAGCACATTTTTCTTTTTGTCACTAAGCTTATTATCTGGCAGCATGGGGACCAACTGGGGCTTGCTCTCCAAGCACGTGTCTTCATCACAAGCACTCATCCC